GGACGGCCATGGGCGCCAATTATGCACCCAGCTACGCAAACCTTACCATGGGGTACTGGGAGGACCATCATATATGGAAAAACAATCCATATGCCAAACACCTAGTTTTCCTCGGGCGGTATATAGATGACATAGTCATCATCTGGGATGGCTCACCAGAAAATGTAGTTGAATTCGTGCAACATTGTAACAACAACCAATTAGGCCTCTCCTTCACTCACGTCACCAGCACCACCGAACTCGTTTTCCTAGATCTTGAATTGACCACAAAAAATAACCAAATCATTACCAAAAACCACATAAAACCCACAGGAGGCAACTCCTACCTTCATTACCACAGCTGTCACCACCCCCGCTGGAAAAAGAATATTCCCAAAAGTCAGTTTTGCCGACTCAGCAGAAATTGCACCGACAAAACTGACTACTGTTCTTCCAGTTCACTTCTCACCAGAAAATTTCAAGAGAAAAAGTACCCCAATGATTTGATCACAAATGCCTTCTCAACCTATCTACAAACGAACCAAACCGAATCCATTGACCGCAGACAATCCTCAACTAACAACCAAGTGCGATTTATCACTACTTACAATAATAGCTATAAAGCCATCGAAAAAGTATTACACAAAAATTGGCACATCCTACTCAAAGATCCAAAGTTAGGACCCTTTCTGCCAAATAGACCATTTATAAATTTCAAGAAGAACAAAAGCATCAAGAACCTTATTGCACCATGCAAATTGCTTAAAAAAACAGAAAATAACACAAAAAATTTCCTGTTTGACAACAGAGTAGGGACATTCCGGTGTAAAAAGCCGAAGTGTCTCACCTGTCAATTCATCCATCATGGCCAATCATCATTCAGGGATCATAGCAATAATGTCTACAACATAAGACAGTTCATCACATGTACACACGATCACGTGGTATATGGACTAAAATGCCCTTGTGGGTTGATGTACGTTGGACGCACTATACGACCGTTACGGAAACGCATTGGAGAACACCGGCGTTTCATTGAAAAGGGTGATACTGAACACAGCGTGCCACGGCACTTCACTGCCTAACACCACAAAAACATCCACGCCCTCCAAGTGTTCGCCATAGAACATATACCCATTCACCTAACACCCTCAGAGCGCTTCAAACGCCTATGCCATAGAGAAACTTATTGGATATACAAACTGAATACCCTAAGGCTGGGTTCACACCTAGGCGTATTGAATATGCGCGCCTGTCGCACGGTTTTTTTACCGCGATTCGCGGTAAAAAAGTTGCGCGACCGTCGCGTGATTCCGAAGGCTACTTGGCTGTATCCCAATGTAAAACCCCCTACAAAACAGCCCAAAGAAGTACATGTACTTGTTTGAGCGTAGGCCGTTTTGTAGGGCGTTTCAGACGGCGGAAATACGGAAAGGTGTGAACCAGACCCATAGAAAACTTGATAGAGCGTTGAACGCACGACAAAACGTAAAGGTGTGAACGGGGCCTAACACCCATGGGATTAAATGAAGATTTGGAGATACTAACCATCCTCTAAAATAAAATTGAATTTAAAATATACGCAAAATACACGTATCATACTGCCTTCACAAGAGCCCCCCTTTCCCCCCCTTCTGTGCCCACTGGTCTGAATAGGCCTTCCCCTATACGTGATTCCATTGTATTCTCGTATCCCCAATGGAACCCTATATCTAAACACACATTTTCCAAATAATAACTGTGTATGGAGAAGTCAATATCAAGTCACCCCATCGCTCATAGTAACAGCACATCTGTCCATGACCTTATAGAGTGCCCCCTTCCCTAACCCTTTCATTCAACAGACCAAGCCTCCACCTACGATCTCAGATCATAAAAATACACACACAGGAGACTTTCCCCACATCAGCGGCTCCTAGTCATAAGCTCTGAATCAACTGACCAATCACATCTCTTCACGATCGGAAACCACGCCCACCTGTCATTGTTTAAACCGCTGCTTTTCCCGCCCGCACCAGTAAACCACTTCGGGCTTGACAAAGAGGTCTTGAACCTCGAAACGCGTAGCCAATCCTCCACTCCACGGACCGCAGTGTCCGTTAGCCTTGAGCTCATTCCCAAGACAATTTCAGAACGATCGCTTATCTACAAGATACCGCTATACAGCGGCACTTCTGCTCCCGTTCAGCCGACGAGTGGCAGCCTGGCCAGCTGCGCTCTCATTGCACCTGACGGTGAGTGTCACGTCAAACGGCATAGTTCACCTTGCCTAACGGACCCTTTAGTCACATCAACTACCGATGAATAACAATAGACTGACCTAGAATCATGTAGTCCGTTCTCTACACCCATACAGACCAGCCACAGATGCTGCTCAGCACTCCATGCCGACAAACTGCTCTTATTTCTCTAACGTGAAGACTCCAGTTCGTCCGTCCAAAACCCGTTTATTATACCCACACGGACCGGCCAGAGTTACTGCTGAGCGATCTATACAGCCTTCACTCCTCAACTGCAAGACTCCATCCTGTCCTCCCAAACAGTGAGTTTTCAGTCTAATATTGCTTTTAAAGTTTCTATCCATACCATCACAAGCATTGTTTTAGCATTGGCATATTATTGTTTTATATTTGTTTTAAATTTGTTTTAATATTAAAATTTGTTTTAAACATATCCATTCATCTTATCATATTCCATATCAGTTGTGCGCTCGCCATTTGTACTGTTTAAAAAAAAACAAAAAACAATGCAGCCACCTCGCCTAAGGACTAGTAAACTGCAATATACAGTATATTCTTGGCTTTAGGTAAAATTTTAGTTAAACACTGTTGATTTGGTTTAGTAAGGTTTATATAGAGATCTCAGTGACACAGTTACAATATGATTTTGGAACATTTTGCACAGGCCATCTGACATGAACACAGTAATTATAACTCCTAACTATATCCACTTCACAAGCATGAACAATGCTGTGCTAAGATACTCCTTGAGCATACCACACATGTTACAGTGCAACTGTACAATCACCTTTAGGGCCCGTTGACACCATAGTATTGTGTTATCGTACAATGCACCTAGCATGCGGTACTGTGCGCTAGGTGCATTTGAATGGCACCCTAACACACTTCCTTGCGGCGGTGTATTGCAAAACAGTGCATGTGGCACCACAATACCTTGAGTTGCACTGCGGTGGAAAACAACAATGCATGTCAACCGCAGATGTGTTGGGGTATCATTCAAATGAATGGCAAATCAATGCGCCTAGCACATGTTACTGCAGGCTAGGTGCATTGTGCATTGTGTGCTTGCAACACTATGGTGTGAACCTATTTAAATCTACTAATAACTATATATTGCCTGATTGGATAGAAATTGATTGGATGGATCAGGTAAGTCCTCATATTACATAGTTTTGGTAAATCTAAAGTTAATTGTACAAATTCTGTATGGTCTGATTAGAGTGTCTGTAGTAAAATATATTCTTCCAGCAGTGCTTATCTGACTGCATGTTGACTGGTCTGATTATATCCAGTGTAACACAGCAATTTGTTTTGTAAAAATATGAGAAAGTTTGTGCATGGAATACAATTCAATACAATACAAAGGTAAATGCATAGGAGTAAAGTGGTCAGGATAAGCGAAGCCCTCCCTTTCAGTGATCGGTGGAGTATAACATTGGATTGATTGGTGTGGGTGATATCTCTTATATTCAGAGAAAAGTCAAAGGTGTCCTGTAAATTTCCTAAAGTCTTTTTGTCTGTGTAACACAATATAACGAAAGATCACCATTAGCAAAAGAAAAAAATAACATCAATCCTTAAACAATGAGTTAAAGCAACAAAGAGCAGAATAATATTAACATTTATAAATGCACATATGAAGTCCACACACATCTTCTAGTATGCCGACATGGCCACCCCAACAGAACAAGACCCACTTTCTGGATAGAATGTTAAATAATAAAGTGCCCACATAGCATAATACCTTTATTACAAGTTAAAACTTTTCAATAGACAGTTGTGCCAGGCTCAAGCCAGTACCTTAGCATGCAATGACTTCAGCTCCTCCAACCATTGCATTTCATCATTATAGATTTTGTGAGGGGCCGTTATGTGTTATGTATGGTGTTACCTATCAATGATAGATTTCAGTATGGAACCCTAAAGATTCCTTTGCGCTGGGGATCTCTGCATTGCATACTATTGAGGTAATTTAGTCTTGCAGGAAAAGCAGAACAATAGTTCTAAACATCTTGAAAACATCATGAAGTTTAAATGTGCCATCTTTCTATCAGTAAGAATAATAACTATGTAGTAATAATGCATTTAAGTGGTGTAAATATTGGTATATATTATTTATCTGAAATTAAATCTTGTTAAATTATCTCAACTTTACAGACTGCTGAGTCATATTGGTCATTACTGTTTTTCGTCTTCTGATTTATAACCACTAGAGGGCATACATGTTAGGCAATGTCATCAGAATGATCCAAACAAAGCAAAACACCACTCACATTTCGATCCTGGCTTCTGACTTGCATCTGCGTCCCAGGTGCAGGCAACCAGTGCGTCTCCACCTCAATCAAGATTCAAAACATGCCGCAGTCCACAGGATCTTGTTTGGAAAATAAAAGTGTTTCTTTAAGGAGCAATATACACACTGTCCCTAGCTCCCCTATGGCTATTGGGTGACTGTATTTCTTTTACTAAAATATTTAACCATTTGTTCACAATCATCTCAGTAGCAGCACAGTGCATGGGCTAGTGAAATATAGGCAAAATCTTTTTCTAAACCTATACTGCATTAATAACATCCTAGCTAGATTATTATTATTATACAGGATTTATATAGCGCCAACAGTTTGCGCAGCTCTTTACAATATAAGGAAGACATTACAATTACAATACAATTCTAGACAAGATGGTAAGGAGGGCCCTGCCCGTGAGAGCTTACAATCTAAAATATGTTTTTCTCCTTCATCCTCATCTGTTAGTGAATAGATTTTTGTGTTTTTGTTTTAGAATGGACTCAATGCTTTGCATCTTGCTGCCAAAGAAGGACATCTCTATCTTGTTAATGAATTGCTGGAAAGAGGATCTTCAGTGGATTCTGCAACCAAGGTACAGTTTAAAAAACTAAAATGAGAAAAAACTGAAACTGTAAGAAGTTCTGTTATGAAGTAAATAGAAAGGGACACTGTTAGGTGAGGGGCTGAGATACAATATACTATATATTAAACGTAGATGTAACTCTAGGCAGTACAGCCTCCGAGAAATTAATTAGTATTAGTATTATTAGTATTTAAAGTAGGGCTGGTACTGATGAAAATTTTGTGTTCGATTAATCGAATTAATTAATTGATTCATTTTGATTAATTATAACGCACATACAGATCCAACTACATTGACCTATACACATACAGCACAGCAATAAAGTAATAAAATTAACTAGAATCACACTAATCCAGCACGTTATTAATCTCACGTGCCCCACTCAATATGGTCGCCGGTTGAGTGGGGCAACTCAGAATAATAACGTGCTAGTGTGATCCTAGTTCATTTTATTACTTAATTGCTGTGCTGTATGTGTATAGGCCAATGCCTTGGCTGGCGCTCGTGCAGAACAAGTTTCTTGGGCAAAGTCAGGCGGTCGCAGAACTCGATAAGTTCTCAGTGTCGACAGATCACCGGCCCAAGTGGCTCCGTCGGCTAACAAAAGGAAGGGGGTGGAGTCCGGTGACGTCACGGACATATACGTCACCAGACCCCTCCCCCTTCCCTTCGTTAGCCGACGGAGCCACTTGGGGACGGGGGGGAAGAGTCCAGTGACGTCGATGTCCGTGACGTCACTGGATCTCCGACGGGACTCCGGGAAGCCGGCGGAGAGGTGAGTGTTTTCATTACTGATTAAAATTCTTAAAATCGAGTAATTAATCATTAATTTCCGCAGCCCTAATTTAAAGGTAAAATTTAGGTTTGAGTAGAGTGATGAAGAGTTGTGACTAGAACAGAAATAGAGGGGAGATCTTTAAATGGGGACACTTGTTCATATATAGCTGTCTAAGAGGGAATTTAGGATGAGCAGTGAAGGGAAATATTCCTAGTGGAACAGAGATGGCAAAACAATGATAGTGGTTTTAAACAATCCATACTGTATCCAAAATGAAAAAAAAAATGGCTTTAGATATACTGTACAGTAATAGGATCTAGCAGTTCTAAGGGCCAAGCATACATGAAAAAAGCTCAATGTTTAGCGCTCCCATGCTAATAGCTTATTATTGGTACCCGTTGTCAAATAATTATAACATTATAATAATACACATGTATATATATGTACAGTACATGTGAATAAACATATAGATACAAATCAATGCATGCATTATACTGGCTCTCTTGTCAGTTTGGTTGGCTTGATTTAGTTTGTTGTACTGTTAGAAAACAACTCGTATATCTATAGTGCAATTTCCATATTGGATGCAGGTATTTATATAAATAAATGTAATAAATAAATACATTTACAAACATAAAATGTGAATATTCGCTGCTTACTTTATTTTAGGAGGTTTTTTGATTCAGGGCAGGTTCACACCATTTTCTGGACCAGATCTGGTCCGGAAAATTATGTGAACCTGCCCGCAGTTCCAGTGCATTTCAGACTAGACAAAATAAGACATGCAGTTTTTTTTCTTGTCTGGTCTGGAACTCTGTGTGAACAGAGGCCAGAAATAGCATAGGGATACATTAGGATGTATTTTGGGTCCCGAAACAATCTGGTCTGTTCTGGAGATGATCTGGATGTGGTGTGAATGGGCCGTTATTGATAATGAGTTGCACTCAGGGCTGGTTCACACCACAAAGGCTGCATTCCAGAGCATTCGGCCTCTGGAATGCAAGCCGGCCGGCTCCCCGCGTTCAGGGGTGGGAGGGGGAGTGGCGGTGCATTGAAGTCAATGGCACAGTAGCAACACCCCCTGCCTGCAGTGCGATCGCCCGCACTCGGAACGCAGGCACATTAGCGTCTGCGTTCCGGTCCAGTGTGATCTGCAAAAATACTGCAAGCACTATTTTTGCAGATTGCATTGGACCAAAATGCAGACACTAATGTGCCTGCGTTTTGGGTGTGGGCAATCGCATTGCAGGAGGGGGGCGTGGCTGTTGTGCCATTGACTTCAATGCACCGCCACTCCTCCTCCCGCCCCTGAACGCAGGGAGCCAGCCGGCTTGTATTCCAGTGCATTCCAGAGGGTGAACGCACTGGAACGCGGACTTTGTGGTGTGAACCGGCCCTCAACGTCAGAAGAATTGTCCAGGCATTGATACAAGACAGCTTGTATTTTATTAACAGAGGGAAAGAGTAGGCGTCTAATCTACACTACTAGATCACCTTTTGCGTGTGAAATTCTATAATCACATGATTAGTGCCAGTGATGAAATAGAGACCATGGCATACTCCTGGCATTCCTAAAGTGCTGCATTATTCTGAACTATCTCAGTAGAGAAACCCCTTTCTGGGGATGCCTGATATTTTATCTCAGGTTCTTTGCTGGGGTTTAAGAAAAGTAGTGAGCTAATCACTGAAGCAAGGAAGCAAAAATATTTTAGATATGGCAGTTTTAGTAAATTAAGGTTGCCTAAAGATAGCAATGGAAGGGTCATTTTTAATACCATTAAATTACAAAATGGCTGGTGTATCATTTATATATATGTATGAAATCATTTTCAATAAAGCTAGGATTTTTTTATTTTTATATAAAGCATAGGAAAAAAAGTGTGATAATATTGTTTTATATCTTTTCAGAAAGGGAACACTGCACTACACATTGCATGTCTGGCCGGGCAGGTAGAAGTGGTGAAGACTCTGGTCAAGCAAGAAGCCAATATCAATGCCCAGTCCCAGGTACTTTAATAAGTGTGAACAAGTCATAATGTCTTATTACCTGTATTGTTATAATAAATGATCTTTTATGCAGTTATGATTAAAAAAATAAAAAACAAGACTTAAAATAAATAATTGAATGAATAAACATGATAAGTAATAAATGTTTATGATATTAAGCCAAACTCTTATTACTTTTACCACTGCGGTTTTAAATGGTCACTTAGGAGCAGGGCTCTGGGTCAAAAATGTAGATGATAAAACATCAAAAGTCCAAATGTATTCTGCAATCTGTCCTTTTTATAAAGGCTCTAGAATTATGTTTCTGGAACAAAGCATTTTTTTTTATGTGGCACTACAAAAATGGAAAAGCACAAATGTTAAAAGTTTACATATGAACGGTACAAGCTGCAAAATAAATAGCTAAGGGATAAATGGAGTTAATAAAAATGAATTAGAGCTAACTAAGGGTTAATAAGGGATTCAACTGTTAATTAGTTAAACTGTAAAATAAAATAAAAAACTTTTTTTAGTTACTGGATTTGCTGCAGCTAAATTTCTTTGCAGATCAAATGACAACAATGAATGAATGGGGTAGTTATGAGAAAGGGAGTTGGAAAAACTCCCCTGATTAGCAAAGGAGTTTCGTTAGAGGCATATGTTTTCTAGACAATAATTAGATCACCACATAGCACGAATATATGAGTGGAGGCTGCAAATGTAGCCTTTATTCTAAAATAAATGATGAGCAGGACCTGATATACAGCATGTGTAGTAATGAGAAAGTTTATTTAGAGGCATAAGTATTCTCAGAGACATTAAAGGTCTTAAAGCCCAGTGAGACCTGATCAAAAAAAGTCTGCAGCTACCTTTATACTAACCTTCATAGATTTTACAAATGGCATAGCAGCAGGAGCAATAGATGTAGCAGTCTCTTTGGGTCCATAACCCCATAATGAATCAGTGAAAGCATCATCATGGAGCATATGTGTGTATGAGGTGCAGTTGAGGGGGCCAGGTTTACGTTACATTAAAGTAGCCTGACTTGTCTTGAAAAGGTAACAGTAATGCTGAAGAACAGACACCTTGTCATAGCTCCCTTGTCATTCTTTGAAATGTATCTAAACCCAAAGCATAAGTTTAAAATATTGCAGTTTGCCAAATGTAGTTGTCTTTTTTCCTTAAGTCCCCATTCACACATTAGCATATCGGGAACAAGCATCTAATCTATCTATCCATCTAAATCTGCTAAAGCATCTAACACAACTGTCTCCACATGGTGACAGTGCCGCTGTCCAAGGGTGGCTCTATTGATCCTCCATAGAGTGAACCCACCCTAAGACGCGAAGTGTGTTACTGATCACCAGGTGAAAATACATTTTTAAAAAGTCTAAAAAAGGAAATCTAATGCAGCCACCACATATAAGGTTTGGTAAGCTGCAAGATATGACATTTTTGATTTTGGGTCTAGAACTGAACTCTGTGGTCCCGTGGAACCCCTGGAATTCTAGTCCCAGAAATTCACTCTCTCATTTGCTCCAGGTCATGATCCCCTCCTACCGTATAATTGTTAGTAGTCAAAGACCAATTTTCTACCACCAGTGAGGCTCTGGCATTCAGCAATTAAAAGATAGTGGCCTGCAAGGAAAGTTTGTATTAATTAAGCCTATCATAAAAGTAATACATAGTCTGCCATTGCTGACTTCTTACAAAAAATAGTTGCTTGGCTGCTATGTTGATCATATTGCTTCAATACTTTCTGAGTCACTGTCCTGGAATATGCACTCACTGAGCACTTTATTAGGTATAACTGCTCAATAATGCAATTATCTAATTAGCTAGTCATGTGGCAGCGGTGTAGTTCATCATGCAATATCATGCAAATATAGCTCAGGAGCCTCCGTTAAAGCCTATCTCTGAGGAAACCCTCCACTCCTCTCTCTTTTTTTGCAAATACCTGGTGAAGCAAAGTTTTACTTACCAATATCCACCAGTTGGATCCCTCGCCATTGCCACCTCTGGGAGCAATAATCCAGCACTGCAGATGTGCCTGTTTGGTCCCCTTATGCTGATGCCACTGCTTATACTTCTGGATTCTAAAAGGTCCCCATTGCTGGACAGCCAATGGGATTTGTCCTCATCACACAGGCAGTGACATAAGCACCCAGAGAAGGACCCCCCCATCCTGTACACAGTAGAAGTATAAAGACTTTAGACCAGAATGCCAATTGACAGGGAATTTACTTAAGTGAAAAGGGCATTTAGGTAGTTTTCTTTTATATTTAAAGAAGAACTCTTGGATTTTGAAAAATTAACCCCTAGAGAAAAACAAGCACTTAACCCTTGCAGTGTGTGGGTAGCCCCACTGCAAGGGTTAAGTGCTTGTTTTTCTCTAGGGGTGCATATAAAAATACTCACCTGATCCTCGGTTCTCGGGCAGTGACCTTATCTCGCTCACCCTCCGCTCCGGCTGTGGTATACTCCTCGAGGTATTCACATCTAATAGACCTGTATTTGACTTGATAACGTCACGGGTTCTTAGACCACCAGAGCCCAGGGTAGAAGAGACTGCAGGGACCGGTCTAGCAGCTAGAATCAGATGAGTATTTCTACTTTATTTTCACCCCCTAGAAAAATTGAGCACTTAACCCTTGCAGCACGGTGGTACCGCTTTAATGGCAGCAACTAGTTAAAGGGGATGTGGCAAAGGCAGCAGTTGGAATGGGGCTTTATTGTTCATATCAAACATCAGTATGGGGGAAAAAATGTGGCTTTGACTGTAGCATGATTATTAAACATCCAGTGAGTTGCAATTCTGCAGACAGAAATGCTAGACTGGTTCAAGCTGATAAAAAGCCTAAAACAAATAAAACAAACAACGCCTCCTCCTAGTGTATTAAAGTTTATTAGATAGAGTAATAAAAAAATGACATAAAAACTACTCACATAGAGGTATAACGGAATGAGCAATCGGATAAAGAGCAGGTCCCAGAGAAGGCCGACTAGCTGACGTGTTTCGGGGGAGCTTTCCCCCTTCCAAAGCCTACAGTAACACAGATAACCACTCATTACAACTGTGGTGAGCAGATAAAGCCTCTCAGAATCAACACAACATGTAGAACCTTGAGCCAGATGGGCTACAACAATAGTAAACCATGTCGGGTTCCACTCCTATCAACCAACAAAAGCTGAAGCTGCAGTGGACACGGGCTAACCAAAACTTGACAGTTGAAGACTGGAAAAATGTTCCCTGGTCTGATGAATCTTGATTTCTGCTGAAGCACCCAGATGGTAGGGTCAGAATTTGGTGTCGGTAACATGAATTCATGGATCCAACCTGCCTTGTCTGTTGTGTGTGGGATTTTTTTAATGGCATGCTCTGTGCCCAATAATATCAGTTAATCATCACTTGCATCCTACAACACATCTGGGTATTGTTGCTAACCATATGCATCATTTCATGGTCAATATTTAGTATACTGTAGTGTTCCCAATAAAGTGCTCAGTGAGTATAGTTGCAGGTTAGTCCTGACTTGACTGATCCGTAATACTAGTCTTTGTATTTCTCTCATGGAAGGTTTTCTTTATTCTTGTAATGTTGAACAACAGTTCCGATAATGTTAATTAGCTTGGCATTATGAGAGGTGTTCTTGCATAGCAATTAAAGTGCTGAAGGCTGTCTGTAAAAGATCTATGTGTTGAACTCTAAACGGAATAATTAAACAGGGCTGTCCTTTAGTCGCTGCTATTCATCTGAATGATGTGACGTGCAGTATGGTAACTTGTGCACTGGTGACATGTAACTAAGAGTCAGAATTTGCCTTCAGCCTAAGTTTTATATGCATTACTTCTCAGTAAGTATATAGCAGATGGCATGTTTACTCCTTGGAAAGGTGTATACGTTACATTTACCCTGCAGTAAGAAAAATGGAAATGTAGAGAGTACACATTAGAAGTGAACCCTGCACTGCTGACTTGCAGTTTGTCTTCAGACATCAGTAAACTACTAGAATACAATACATTGTTGCTGCCTTTATTAGATAAAAAGAGTTATCATGAACCACAAGACATCTGAGTATATACCAACAGTCATTTAATTTAAAGTTGTCTCATCCTACTGCCCCCCACTAGTCGAGCAAACCTGAGTTGGAAGATTCCATGTTGTGAGTGTGAGGATTTAGTGTGAGTCTGGGAAGTATTTCTGAATCCTGAAGCTGCCTACTACATATGTAAAGAGTGATCATGCCTATTGGCTGATGCTGATATGTTGCACCATCGCTATTGAATAGGCATGCTCATTGTAACTATGTATTAATGGCAGTTATCAAGCTGTAACAGTTTTTAAATTAAATTTACTTGCTGGTTCAAACTGTTTTGTTTTGCAATTAAATGATACTGTACATGTTCTTACTGATATTAAGTGATGTACATTAAGGAACAAAGTTCTGGCAGCTTGCCAGTCATCCCATATAACTTTTTAGTGGCTATTTTCACCACAGCAATCCTGCTCATAGCCTCCTCAGGATAGTGGGTAATCATTGTATCATCAGAACATTTGAACAGGAATGAATGTCTAAGAATTGTGTTCCTAATGAAGTTACTCTTGGAATCATACAGGCCACAAACAGCATGTATTGGCCGGTCTTTCCATATATCTGGTGTGCATGAACAGGATTAAAATAATTGTCATTGCTAAGTTTACAGTTTAAAGTAAAGCATGATCACAGCCACCAGTAATTTAACAGTGGAGATATTGTAATACAGTAATGGATAACCTAGCCACAGGGGATTGTCATTGGATTATTGTGGAACTCTGCCAGTTATGTTTTGTAGTTTATTAGCAGACACTGTACATAGTCCTCAGCTGTAGAGGTCAAAGTGAGAAATACAGACTCATAACTTGGCAATAAAGCTGTATAAATGTGGGTCATCCAACATCATGGAAGAGAAGGGCTCGGTGTTAGCAGCCGGTTGCTCTGTAATCCACAACCTCATGTGGTCAACCTCATCCAGGACAGTAT